CCCCCAGCCCCGCACCCCCGGCCCCGCACCCCGCTGAGCCCCGCCCCCGGCCCCGCGCCCGCACTACCCCGGGCTTATAAGTGTGGGGTGTAGCCCCGGGGGGGGGCCGAGGTCGGGCCAAAACTGCAATATTGCAGTTTGGCCCAAGGGGTGCAGGCTGCGGCTGCGCACCCCCCTGTATTTTATTTATTTATTTTTTTATTTTTTTTGGATTTTTTTTTTTTTTTTTACTTTTTTTGCCGGGGCCAGGGGTGCCGACCCCCGGCCCCCGGGACTCCCGCCGGGGCCCCGGGGCCGGGGCTCGACAACCCTGAATGTCACGACTCTAAGGGACATTTAGGTTTCAAGAAAACATATGCTGAAGTCAGAGAACGTTTCAAATGGAAGGGACTTAAAAAAAATGTACTAACATATGTTTGTACATGTCTAGTGCGTCAGAGAAACAAGCCGTCGCATGAGAACCCCCTTGGACTTCTCAAGCCATGCCTATACCAAGCGAACCAGGTGAGTCTATCTCAATTGACTTTATGAGTCTGGTTAAGAGTCGCAATGGCAATAGTCAAGTGATGGTAATTGTGGATCGTTTCTCTAAATACGCTATGTTTGTTCCCTTACCAGCAGAAGCACGTACTGAACTTGTCATTCAGAAGTTTCAGATGCAATGGGTCACTGAGTATGGATTCCCTAAAACCATTTTGTCCGATCGAGATGTCAGGTTCACCAGTCTGCCATGGCAAAAGCTGATGGAAGCTTATGGCACACGACTGACCATGTCGTCAGGGAGACATCCCGAAACGAATGGCTAGACTGAACAGATGAACCGTCTGTGCCAACAACTTTTGCGTATGTATATTAGACCCGATCAGATTGATTGGGACGAGAACTTACCCAAAATTGCGAGTGCATATAACAATAGTGTTCATACTTCCACGGGAAGAACCCCGAATGCACTTCACAAAGGGTGGAAGCCTAAACGTCCCATTGATGTACTGAACTGGGACCAGTTTCTTAGGTTGCCCCAGGAACCCGGGAATATGCAATCTTGTTTCAGGAAGACATTCAAAAAGTTAAAGAGAATCTAAGGAAAACTCAACTACAAATAATTGAACGAGCCAACAAGCACCGTCGACCGTCTACATTCAAAGAAGGTGATCTGGTTTGGGTAAAATCTAACGAGTTTTCATTAGAAGAAGATGTCTCCCAGAAATTGCTACCTGTCTATTTTGGACCCTGGGAAGTTTTCAAGGTAATTGGAGATGCAGAGGGACCGTCTTATCGAGTTGATATTCCCCCTCATCTCAAAACATACCCTGTCTTTCATGCGTCCAAATTGTTGTCTTACGTAGAAGGAAATGAGTTTCCGAACAGACCCTCTATGATTCCGCCATCTATGGACAACAGATATGATGTAGATCGAATCATAGAATATGGGTACTTTTCTACAGGAGCACGTGGACGACCTCAGAAGCAGTTCAAGGTACGTTTTAAGTCTCAGGCACCATCTGAGGACGGATGGTTTAGTAAAAGAGAACTTCTTGAAACTGCTCCTGATATTGTTGCTGCGTATGAACGAGGGATAAAGTCTTAAAGTATTTCTGCGGTGGAACTCGAAAATGGGCCGGCAGGAATGCAGTAACCCTGTTCAGAAGACGCCTGGGGCCAGAACCCGGCCCCTGGAAACGCAGACCTGAGTTGGCCTCCGTCGGGCTGTGTGACCAAGACACGCCCGGGCCTGAGTCGGTCGAGCGTGGCTGTGTGACCAAATGCTGCCCACAAGAAATTCAAGAGTCAAAGTCAACTGTACAGTCAAAGGTACCGCACCCAGGCCGTGGGTTGGATACACTCACTTGTTGTGCGCAGGTACCTAGACAGCATCCAGGCCGAAGGGAATTCGGTTTCAGGCCGATCTGAGCCCTCATTCGCATTGAGATCTGGACGACCGAGGGATACAGCATCCAGGGTCCAGACCCCTCGTCAACACTACATAAGAGTTGACTCCCTGGCATTGAGGCATTCATTTTGTCTTGCGTTGATGCTGACTTCACGCGTTGACTTCGACGCTGGCTTGACGCTGCGACGCTGGCTTGATGCTGCAACGCTGGCTCGACGCTGCTGGCATTGTGACTTGGCGAGGCGCTGCTAGTCCGGCATGGTGGCCGGCTTGCTCTTGTCTTTCTGGCTTCCTGACGTGGCAGCTGCCATGCACCTTCGTTGATGTGGCTGCTGCCGCGTGTATCATTTGGCTGACGTGACTGCTGCCACGTGTTCTATTGAGAGGACTACGTGAGCAATACTGTTGTTCTGTTTGTCGTCACTTCGAGAGGAGATCAGGGTTGTGGAGAGTTCGAGGATAAGTAACTGATGATCTTCATGTCGACATTGCTCCGGATGCTGATGTGGAACTGATTAGACGTGCCACGTGGCACATTGAGGATACTTGGATACTCGTTCAGACTATTGATTGCTGAGGTGGCAGTGGAGGAGGGAGCCCGAAGCAGGAGTGGGCATTTTTCTTCCTCTCCTTTGTCTCTTTTCCCTCCTATCTCTTCGTCTGTGTATGATATCTCACCTCATTCTGTCTGGTCACGATTTTTGAGTAATCATCAGCCGATGGAC